CGGCTTCACACTAAAGGTCTTGAGCCATAAGCCGAAGTGTGGGGGAATGCGGAGAAAGGCCTCGCACGTGATAATGAACGTCGAGATGTAAAGGAGAGAATCTGGGGCTAGATCGTGAAAATCTAGTCCGTAGTAAAACATGAGCCCCCGGACAAAGGGGTGAAGAGCGGATCCTAGCCCTCGCAGGAAGTGGGAGATGAATACGACCCTCTCGTCGGATCTAGGAGTAGGAATAACCTGTCCTCGAGCTGGAAGCCTGTGGGGGATCTCTGCGATCAGGTATCTGGCTGCATGAAGCTTCGTGATGTCCCCCTCCGTAACTGAGGAGGCCACCCATCGGCCCTGTGGGCTGGGTTCGGACATGATTGGGAAGCTTGAAGCGATGAAGTCGAGCCTTGGGTGCTAGAACTTGAAGTTGGAAGGGCTAAGGAAAAGGTTGGTGTAAAACAAGGCGGCCCTTGCCTCCTTTATAAAGGCAACGGATATCAAACGCCTCCACCTAAGCCTGAAAACCTGCCTATTCCTAAGGAATCATACCAATGGAACGGTTGGGTTATCCACGCTCGTATTAATGAGAATCCCGCGATAAGGGGACATGATCTCTGCTTCGACAAGACGTGCCAATAAAAACTGCGCCTCGAAACATGGAACGGCAGGACAAGAAACGGTTCAAAATAATGACCGGGCAAACGTGATGTCGCGTTACAAAAAGTTGTCAGCGGATTGGACTCGTGCAAATATTATATTCTCTACGATTGTGTGTGGTACTTGTGTTGCAGATCCGGACATGTTCATTACGACCGAAGTCTATCTTGGAGTATTCGGAAAGGGGAACCCGCCTTGCAATGCCGAAGACAATCTGCGCGCCGGACACCTCGTCATTGAAGCCTGGTTCAGGGGCTACTGAGGGAGTCCTGGACTAAGGGGTCCTCGGGCGTCCGACCTATTAGACATGGGCCGGATTGATGGGCTGTGAAGATACAAAGGCCGAAGACTCTACCCGTGTCCGGATGGGACTCTCCTTGGCGTGGAAGGCAGGCTTGGTGATCAAATATGAAGATTCCTTTCTCTGTAACTGACCTTATGTAACCCTAGATCCCTCAGGTGTCTATATAAACCGGAGGGCTAGGTCCGTAGACATATATCCTCATAATCATAGTCATACATGCTAGACTTTTAGGGTTTAGCCATTATGATCTCGTGGTAGATCAACTCTTGTAATACTCATATTCATCAAGATCAATCAAGCAGGAAGTAGGGTATTACCTCCATAGAGAGGGACCGAACCTGGGTAAACATTGTGTCCCCCGTCTCCTGTTACCATCGACCTTAGATGCATAGTTCGGGACCCCCTACCCGAGATCCACCAGTTTTGACACCGACACCTGTCCTTTCTCTGCTGGAGTCACGATCAGCGAAGAGGGTTGGCGGACTCGATCCATGCTAAAGGGGGGAAGACCAGTCGACTGACCAGGAGTCGGAACATCTTGGAAGTAGAACCAGGTCGACTGCCACCCTCTAACCGAATCAGGAAGGGTCATAACTGGAAAAGTCCTCCTACCCGTCATCTGAATCCCTAAACCACCACACATTTGGATCACGTGCGTCTTTTCGTCATTCGGATTTGCCTTCTTCACAGATTGAGAGCGGCAAGTAAAGATGTGCTTGAATAAACCCCAATGCGGTCAACGACCCAAGAAGTTTTCACAGAGAGATGTATGTAGCGAGATATGTGATTGTGTTGGGGAGAAGTGATGAAGTTGGGCACCAAAAAATTTCAAGAAACCCCGGAAAAAAGGATGTGGAGGCAGACTAAAAACGCGGTCGACATGAGTGGCAAGGAGGACGCACTCACCCTCCTATGGCCGAGACTCTTTCTCGTTCTCCGGCAACCTCCAAGACACGTGAGAAATCAAGCCTCCACTGGCCAGGTCCTCCAAGTCCTCCTTCTGGATCGTGGATCAAATCCAGTCCCCCTAGGTCCAACCAGGCGGCAAATTGGACCACGACGACGACCCCCGACTCGTCATCTTGCCCTTCACCGCCGCCACCTTCTTCGAGCACTCCAGGGCCGCCGTCTTGTCCTTTCCCATGGCGACGGAGTACGCGCGGGCGAATGGAGACGACGAAGATGGCGGAGAGCGCAGTGGAGAAGCAGAGGAAGAAGGAGACGATTGAGAGGCACTATGTGTTGCATCGGCCCTGGCGCTATTTATGAGACCACTTCCGAGTGGCTGATAAGTGGGCCCAAGCGATCTAATCATATCACACAGCAGGCGCTCGCCCAATACGTGGCAGAAAAGGCAGCGTGAAGATCGAGGCGCCCTCATCTATCCACTCCGATTACGGCGGCGCGATTCGTCCCGCGCGCTTCCTCGAAATTTCGAATCCCGTGAAATCTAGGAGCGGCAGAGCAACCAATCGCGCCGAAGATTTCGTACCATAACTCACTCGAAGATTATCAACATCTCACTCGACGACCTCTGAATTGATCAAGGCGACTGAATCAGAGCTGAAACCCCAGCATGACTCCCTGATTCCGGTGAAATACCTCCGAGGCGTGGAATCAAGTCGGAACCAACTTCAACTCTCTTTTCACTCGAACCTCAATCCATTCGGGGGCTAATGACGATGCCATTAACCTAGGGTAGGGTCATAGGCCTGACCTAGACGCCCTACCCAAGGTCACTACTCGCCTGACCTAGACGCCCTACCCAAGGTCACTACCCTAGAGTCAAGAATGTTCAAAGTGCAACAAAGAATACCGACTGAAGTAACCTTAGAGTGCAATCCACTCGACCAATTATCTCACTCGGATACCCCAATTTTATTCGACCAAGAAGAAATCACTCGACCATACAAGAAACCACTTGGAGTACAAAAGATCTAAAGCCACTCAGGATGGCAACGGTCAGGCATTCACTCTGCAGTCTTTAAGATCATTTATATCTCTTTATAGCTGGCGTTATCAGTAATGCCCTGTCTTTATGTACATTGAACCTTGTGTAACGGGCGACGGCTGGGGTCCTTGCGCATTCTATATAAGCCACCCCCTCCTCTGGCACAAGGGTTCGCACCCTCTATAACTTTCACACATAATCCAGTCGACCAGGCCTCCGGGCACCGAGACATAGGGTTGTTACTTCCTCCGAGAAGGGCCTGAACTCGTAAACCTTGCGTGTATAACCTCGTCGTAGCTAGGACCTTGCCTCCTCCTACGTACCCCCTATTCTATTATCAGACTTACTCCCACGACACTCACATCTAGATGTAATATAGTCGAACCCTTAAGTAAACCCATTAAGAGGTGCTAGAATGGTGGCCAACCAGCTACACCATGTGGCGCATGTTGGTTGGTCATGATGAGAACCCATTAAGAGGCGCTAGAAGGCCCTTCCCAGTGCTCCAAGGTGTACCAGTGCTAAGGGTGCCACATAGGCAAAAAAAGTGATGTGACAGAGCAATTAAAGAGGAGAGAGAGTATTATGGTGACCCTAGCAGGAAAGGATGCCAAGCGCATGAACCTATGCAAAATGAGTATCAACAAATGAATGAAGGTCTTTTGGTGTTAAAACATTAAATGAGGAAGACTTAGCCACAAATATTAAGCACCAATGCATTCGGAAGAGTAGTGGCTAAGCTCTTTAGTGCATTTAGCACCCCGCCTTAGCACCAATGCATTGGAAAAGGCCGAATGGTGGCCAACCAGCTGCGCCATGTGGCGCATGCTGGTTGGTTACGGTGAGAAAGTATTTTTTAGAGTTTTTTTAAATGCTAGGGAGACTTTTTCTAACAGAAAATTTTCTAGGTTTTTTCTTTTTCCTTTTAAGATGATTGTGATGTCCACATGATGCGAGAATATTTTTTAAATTTTTTGACATGTTGGTGAGGTGTGCATAGCTTTCTCTAAAACGGCCCGCAATGGTGGGCCCCAACCACTAGTACTATATATAGATAGATAGATAATAGCTCTGTCCTCGTTTATTGGTCCCCTTCGTATTTTGTGCCACATTTTGACCATAGATTTAACTAAGAAAATAATAATGCATGGCACCAAAAGAATATCACTGAAAACTATGTTCAAATATGAATTCAATGGTATAATTTTTGGTGATATGCATTATTATTTTTTTAGTTAAATCTATGGTCAAAATTTGGCGTAAAATACTAAGAGGACCAATAAACTAAAACAGAGGTAGTAGAAGAGTTAGTTAGGACGCAGAGTTTTCAAAACAAAATCAAAAAAATCAAGGAATTCCAGTTTTTTTAGGAGAAACATTAACAAAAGTTTTAAGTACTTGCAAAAATTCTTTTTGAAATCACATTTCTAGAAGGCATTCTAAAAAAACAAAATCGGTACTCTGAAAATGCTACTTCCAAAAGCATTTTTGAGCACTGAATTTGTTTTTGTTTTTTTTCCACACCTTACAGGAATGTGATTTCATGACGAATTTTGCAAGCACTTAAAACTTTTGCCAATGTTTCTACCAAAAAAAATTGAAATTTTTTTGATTTTTTTGAATTTTACTGTTCACCGAGCTCAAATGGGCTCGGAAGCAGAAAGGTACTTTCAAGTTAGTTAGTTGTTTTGATTATTTTTCTATTCAACATGTAATGTCGTTAGCTAACGGTCCACGCATTTGTGTGCAAAACATGCATGCAAATTGTTGCTGACTGAAAGCTGGCCGCAAGAGACCCCTACCTCAGCGAATGCTTTTAGCCGATAAAGCTCTCAATATTTCCCGCAAAAAGAAATTATTAATGATCAAAGATTGCATGCATATACCTGATGCTTATCTCAATCAATATTATATGTGCAAAAATCTTGACATTAATGTACGTATATCTCTTGCGCTTGCAATCTTTGGAGTACATTAATGGACATCTAATATATTTCAACCTCTTGCTATTTATAAACTTGCCGTCCCTGCGTGCCACATTTGGAGTCTTACTGGGACCTTACAGTCGACTAGAGCCGAGTTTTTCAAGAGATAGCCAATATGAGAGGGAGCAACCTAGTGCAGCCAACGACGATATTTTTCATCGGATGCCTTGTCGTGTGTGTCCAGTGTACGTATATATCTTCGTCATTATCATCTTGTGTTAACTTCTTACCGTCGATTTTCCAAAACGTACTTACATATACGCCTGTGGTATTGCATCTACTAATGTTAAATACAATATCTAGGTGGTCTCGATGCTAATGAAATGGTAGTCAAACAAGATGGCCGTGTGGCGAATACAAGTACTGACGCTGCCGTTGTCAACTCAACGTCTGTAGGCGACAGCAAGATAACTGTCAAATTTTGCATTCAAAATTTGGGATGCCATCTTTCAGATGGGTACCGTGGTACATGCTACTGCTGCCAGAAAGCTGAGGTCGAGTGTTTCAGGACGCGGAGTGAGTGTCAAGACATCTGCCCTACGTGCAACCCAAAATGCCAACCTCCGTCGGGGTCTCTTGGATGGAATTTCAGGCTCAAACAGATTGTCCATCGGTAATAAAAGGAACCTAGTTTGGTTTGGGCAACTGGCTCCCAACCAAATATCAACGGATATCCTTTGGTCGTCGTGCTTCGACAGGATTGTCTGATATACTTTCTCTCTCCTTTTTCTTTGGGATTATGAGGTTGGCTTTGAATGCTTCCACAACATTTCTTGCATTGCGTCGTCTCGGTCAGTTGGCTATATGGTGCCTGTCATGCAAGTGTAATTATGCATGACATGGAAAAGGATAAAAACAGAAAATGGAAAACATAAATCAATCATAGATCTGAAATCAACGTTAATTGCAATTATATAGAAACAACATTAATTGCAGTAAATCTTGAAAATAGCATATATTATATTAATTATGATTATCGAGAAACATCATTGATTGCATTAATAGTAATCAATCTTCGAAATAGCATTAAATATAATTATTCATTATTATGTCGTATCAATATAATGTGGTCATCACGTACGTAGAGCCAGGGCTCCGCCTCCTCCTTCTCCTCGAAGAAAGAAAGTTAGGGTTCGTGCCTCTTGCCGGCGCCGGCGCAGGTCTGCCTCGTCTCCGGTGGCCCTAGGGCCATGGAGGCACAATGGATGCTGGCAAGGGCCGGCGGGAGGGCTCCGTTTTTAGTCGTTTTTTTAATTTTGTTAGGATTTGTGTCCTACTCAGAAAGGCGAGACGGCGACAGCTTCCTGAAAATGGAATAAAGGTCTCCCCGCCTAGCCCCCATTCCGACGGTGTGTCTAACATCGTTGGTGAGTGTGTGGAGGTGTGTCTCTGGCAGATCTATCTTTGGTGGATTTGCTCAGATCTCGTCGTTGTTCGTCTACGTTCGTGTGTCTTTGGTTTGGATCCTTTCAATCTACGTTATTTTTCATCGGCGGCGGTTGCTGTTCTGGGGTGCTGGTCCTATGGGGCCTTAGCACGGCGACTTCCCGACTGTCTACTACAACAAAGTTTGTCCGACTCCGGCAATGGAGGGGCGATGACGGCGGCGCGCCTTCGGCTCGCTTCGGTGCTTGTAGTCGTCGCTAGGTGGTCTACGGATCTGGATGTAATTTTTTTTTCTAGTGTTCGTTGTACTACCATGATTGAAGATGAATAGATTGGAAATTTTTCCCGCAAAAAAATAATTAATCTTGAAGAAAACATTACTTGCACAGATAATCTTGCTCTTGCATCAAACATATTAGGCCACGACCAATTCTTTGAACTAGATAACACCCCGCACGTTGTTGCGGGGACATGAAGGGGTAAATCTTCTTGGAACAAACTAAGAAAAGGTTGCATTTGGGTAGATATGAAACTGCTTGAGGTATGTTAAAGGACATTACATCATGCCATGTTGACACAGTTAACAATATGTCGCATGGTAAATAGATGAAATGCAATTAAAGAGAAACATAAAGAAATACTTCTACTTTGCTTGCCACACTATACAATGCATGGCTGAGATGACAATGAGTATTGGAGTAAAACTTGCATGAAAATATAACACCAAAATAATAAAATTGGTTGACTGGAAACTCCATAAACAGGATCATCACAATTTTACAATATACCATAAATCTAACAGCTTGTGGTTTCTCTCTTCCCGAAGTTCGACTTTAGATCAAAACAAAAGAACAACGGTAATATGTGGGGCAAGATGGATATCAGTGGTTGTCAGGCTATGAAAATAATCTATGAATGGTTAATCAACATACCATAGTTAATGGAAAAAAATCTGAAAATGGTTTGGAATGTCATACATATAAAGCAAAAGTTTGCAATGTAGAAGTAAATTCACCATAGCTCGGTTTGATAAACTATAAATATTGTTGGTGAGGGGATTTATAACGCATTTCTTATAATTTTTTTGTTAATTTTTACAAACATTTATAGATTATTACCGATAAAAGAGGCATGCCTGTTTTAATAACCTATAATCTGGATGGTCTCTCGTTCAAGTATAACTAACAAGTTTGAGTTGATTCAATACGATCGTTCTTTTAAAGTCATATTCTCAAAGTTGTTTTAAGACTATCGTTACACTTAGCCATATCCTAAGATCCGGAAAACATGATCACCGACAACACTTGATCTAGTCTTAGAGGAGAAACTATAAATCATATTTTATCGTTTATTATTTCACATGAGCTTATGAGTTTTCCACTGAATCGCATATTGCATGATGATAGCAGTTATACATAGAATATAAACTCTTAATTATAAACATAAAAATATAATACAATATTATTGCCTTTAGGGTATATTTCCAACAGTAAGAGTTGTCAAAACTTGTGTGTGACAGAATTGTTACTCATAAATACTCTCATCTGCTCTTCGTTGAGATGATAACTATTTGGGATACTTACATAGAAACTGCTACACTACCTTGTGTGTCTTGCAAGTCGTCACCAGGCACTAGGGTTTCCTGTCTCCCGTCAGCGCCGCCGATGATCGGCCTCCGCCTGCCGTTTCTTTAGGGCCATGGAGGCGCGATGGGTCCCGGGCTTTCTCGGTGGGAGATCTCCGTTTGTAGGTGTTTTCCCCGAGTGTAGTTACAGTTTGTGTCCTGCTCTGGGAGACAAGGCGGTATGTTCCCTGGAGGTGGAATAAGGTTCTTCTAGCCTAGCTCTTGTCCCGACGATGCGTCTAGCATTGTCGAAAGACGTGTCGAGTTGTGTCTCCGACGGATCTCGTGGGATTCGATTAGTGGTTGTCCTCGTTGGATCCACTTGGATATTGTCTTCATTCGTGTGCGTTCATGTGTCTACATGTTGGATGCTTCTAATCTACCCTTCTCTACATCGAAGACGGTTGTTGTTCTGGTGCGCTGGTCCTACGGGGCCTTAGTACGACGACTTTCCAACAATCTACTACAACAAGGTTTGTTCAACACCGGTGAGGGAGGGGCGATGACGGTAGTGTGTCTTTGGCTCGCTTCAATGCTTGTAGTTGTTGCTCGGTGACCTAAATATATATTTTGTTACTTTTAATGTTCTTTATACTGCTTTGATAGTTAAAGAATAAATCGGAAGCTTTCATTGGAAAAAAATCCATGCTTCTATATCTATACTTCTATATCTATATCTATACTACTATTAATCTATATCTATATCTATACTACTATTAAAAAAACAAACATAAACTCTTCTAAAACCACACCGCAAACTGTATACAAGATAAACAGGGCCCTCCGATCAAATTAACCTAAACACATCTGACTGCCCACATTACATCAATGGTTTATTATTCAGATCAACGACTCAGATAAGATGTTCTGCCGAGCAGACACCAGACACCGCCGTGGTCTGTCAATCCTCGCCCGCAAAACATACCGCTTCGATGCCTCCCTGTGACCAGATAAAAAACAAAGGCGAAGTGTGTAATCCTCGCTCAGATCCAGACCCCTGCGTGTGGTTCCTCCCGCACCCGGGCGAGGTGGCTGTCGTGGAGCGCCGGTTGGCGGGCGGAGATGCTCCTCACGGGCTGGCGTCTGGATCCGCGCCATCGAGCTGTGCCGGAGCTTCTCCGACGATCTTTGGCAGCGACCATGGCGGGCGTAGCAGAGCGAAGGGTGCCGACAGACCGGTGTCAGTGCGCAGGGGAAGATTCACTTCACGGCCGGCGTCCGGATCCGCGCCATCGAGCTGTGCCGGAGGTTCTCAGGGTGGTGGCGCGCTGCCCAGGGAGCACGACCATGGGCGAATCCAAGGGAGCACGAGATAACCCCTGCTGCTTTCGCTTCCAAGAGTCCCATCCTCCCACAAGAGCTTCGTGGCCACAACTTTCAGGCGTCTTTTGCTTCTTCTTCCTTTGGATCCCTAGCTAACAATTCTGCATCTCACCATTCACTAGCAGCAACACATTGATTTAGCTGTAGCCAATGCAGACGGTGGGTGGTACAGATCACTAGCTAGCCGAGTTTGCCTCTTCCTCTGTTCTCCTCATTCACTAGCGAGATGTAGTGTGATTCTTAAAGAAAACGTATTGACGAGAGCCCACTCTATTAGTCTCCCTGCTCCTATACTCCATGCACCGGTTCATCCATATATGATCTTATTTTGTTTCAGTTTTTTTACTAGATTTAACACTGGCCTTTGTTCAAATCCTATCCAGGTTGAACCATTGAAAGCGAGCACACAAAGCTGCAGAGGGAACAACTCCAAAGGAATCAGTACGGTGATGTGTTTTCAGTATTCCTAAAATAAATAAGGGTATGGTGTGATTAACACTAACATTCATGGATTAGTCGTTTCTATTGAAAAAAACATCATACTCTGTTAAGTCAGATTCCACTCGTTTTGATTTTTAGCTCTATAAATTGTGCTCTGAGAATTGGTATTCGTTACATCTTGACTGTCTAGCACATCATATGGTCATGCCAATTGCCGCTGCAAAGAAATGTCGCCGGTAACAACAATTAAAGTTCCCTAGATAGTGTATCTTACCACAATCAGTTTTGGTAGCTGTATTGGTAGAAAATGGAGTCTGAGGATGGTTTGGGTTGTGCATTATTCCCTATCCCATAATGATTTTGCTGGTCAAACTTGGGATGTGATCAAGAAGGTGGGGAAGCACCATAGTTTTAGTGGCGGTGCTATTGTTAAGTGCACCGGAATCTAGCAACAAAAATAATACATAAACAGTTTGAATATCTTAGTTCGCACTTCTCGGCAGTGAGTTCAGCACTTGGACGAGACTCCAAACTTCAAATGCTCACAGGTCTAAATTATTGGACACATCCTGATTTATAAGTTATCTTAAATTCCAAATTATGAGATGTTGACAATCTAAAATCATTACTAATTTCGTAGGGAACATATATTGGTGTTTGATGGGGCAGATCAAATTTGTCATCGTGATTTGCAATCCCATGTTGACATTTTCTCAAAGTTTGACATGCTTTACAATTTTTTGCTACATAGACAAAGTCAATTAAGGAACTAGCAAGCGTTAGCCTGAAGATTCCCGATCATTTAAGTGTGCATGAGCAGGCTACCATGGCCACCGCAGATAACCTTGAAGCAGTGTGCCATGATCGTGCCGCTTGAACAAAAACTGTATATGCTTTGGAATTTCATCAGAAGGCATCTGAAGTAAAAATAGTAGGAACTTCAAATTGCCCATCTTTTAATTTAGTGTTGCTCACATTTAGGTCTATCCATGACAGACTTGCATTGGCATCTATTGCCCATCTTTTAATTTAGTGTTGCTCACATTTAGGCTTATCCATGACAGACTTGCATTGGCAACTTGTGAAACTTCAAACTGTAGGCAGGAGGCACCAAAATAGTAGTTGGTCCCACGGAATATAATAAATTGAGTGCAGTGCTGCTGTTAGTCTACCATTCAAGGGCATGATCATAACCAATGTACTGTTAATAAGAATGTAAATCATTTTATTGATTTTTTGTATTAGTCAAGAGTTCGAGACATACATTGTGCAAGAAGACGAGACAACATGATGTATATATGATTACGCATCAAATATTCATGTCTACGACATGATGATTGCTTTTCCATCTTTGGGGTGCTATTGTTGTCTTAGGACTTTCACACCCAACTGCTTGTTGCATTGCAATTTGCAAGTAACCTTGCTTCAACGATAGAAGAGAATTTGGTGATGTATGTGCTATCAACCTGGTTATGGACTACTATGTCTGTTCCTAAATAGATAGCATACTAGAAAGCATGCAGTCTAAATTTGGCTCATGCCATAAAAAGAGTATTCAGATTGTTTAGGTGAAAATGTATCAGCAAATTTTCATGAAAACATATTTTTGTAATTATTGTATTAACGTACATACAAAAAGTGACGGACAAAATTATATATTATATGTGGGAGACCATGCATGTCCAGAACATCTTTGTTTATGAAAGGTGGACTAAGTAATTCAAGGCACAACTTGAAACACGGTAATGTCTGTTTAGGCTCTCTTACCTTTTGTATTTGAACAATGGTTGATTTCCGTTTGAACTGTGCTGGTACATAAAGTGGAGTAGTGGAGTAAAGCCTTGAGATGTTTTTGTATGATTAATTCCTGAGATGAGAGAGCTTATTATATATGGAAGAACTTGGTTTCTTGATCTGTGATATTTGATTCAAGAGGAATATTGATTCATGAAGAATGATGTTTCAAATTATGTATGAGACACTTTATCTCGGCAAAGAATCCTGCATACTTTGATTGAATAAATGAGAGGTTGTTAAAAAAATGTATGCAACAAGAATTTGGTACTATACACTTCGTGTGAAATTTCAAAAATTCAAGAAGCTTATCATATATCTTTTTGGGGGAAAGTTATTCTATATATGATTATATGTGTTAGACGAGACGTGCGTTGCACGTGCATGCGTACTAGTTGTGGAAAACAATCGAATGGCCGGAGCCTTCATTAGATACTAAGATCTGGAAAAAAAATCAATGCCAGAAAATGGTATTTTTATTTACTTGAAATACGTAACCGCCCAAGGAAAATCTCATTTCTCTTTTCAACGCATCCACACATTATGCAACTCGAAACCACAAAAATAAATAAATTATGCAACCCAAGAATCCATAGCCGGCGGCCTAGTCTTCGTGTTCGACAATAGCCGGCCTGATTATTCATTACGGCTTCCCTCATGTCAACACCAAGGATATAAACACAAACAAACTAATCATAACTAATTACCACCAAAACATCACAGCGTATATGTAGTTATGTACCAATCAATCAGTTCATGAGTTGACGGCCCTGCAGTTTCTCCTGATCTCTCCCTGCCCGCCGGTGAGCACGCCGACGCGGCCCATCTTGCGCACGGCGTTCTTGAACTCCTGCAGGAAGTAGCCTTCCTTGGTCAGCGCGTGGATCATGCCGGCGGCGCGGCTGTCGGCGAGCAGTGCGGCGTCGGAGCGGAACAGGCCACGGCCGAGCTTGAGGTTGACGTAGTAGTGGGAGTCGAACCGGGCGGGGCTGCCCGGGTCCATAGGCACGGCGGTGACGTTGTTGGAGGGCGACCCACACGCGGCGCGCAGCTGAGTGGCGTAGGCGGCGTTGAGGGTCGGGTCGGTGGCGGGGGCGACACCTGTGGTGGTGGAGCTGAAGAGGCGGCTGCCGAAGAGGTTGCAGTGGCCGACGCCGATGGTGTGCGCGCCTGCATGGCAACATATATAGGAGTTAAATAAAGAGTTTTGCCACTAAAAATTAGACGTGCAGTTTCTCCGTGAACAGTGAAATGTAAAAAAAATCTGATTTGTTTTTTGTTGTGACAAACATTGTTGATTGTTTCAGCTATGTGGAAAATTTCATGACAAAAAAGCAATCCTACTTAAAACAAAACAAAATCGATGCTCTAAAAATGTTTTTTGAAAACATTTTGGAGAACATCTCTTTTTTTCTGTCTGGACTTTCATGAATGTCATTTCATCATTAAACTTTGGATGCAAGTGAAACACTCTACAAAGTTTGTCACAAAAAAATTAATTTTTTTATTTTCTTAATACTTTCTTGCATCTTACTGCTGAAGAACACTTTTGAGTAAAATTTTACTGTATTCAGTACATACACTTTTTAGGTAATTACAATTTTTTTGTGCGGCGAGTGTTCTATATAGTCTTATTCGTGTACACTCAAAAGTGCGCAGTACAATTGGTTCATCGAATTGTCGTAGTTTGACTCTAGCCGACGCAAAGAGGTTTTTAACGGCGGGCTACGTAATGGTGAAAAATCTACCAACCATTCACTTTGATATTCATGCACCCCTTTAGTATATGCATGTATTCCAGCCCACTCATCTGTATCAAATGATTATATCAAATCAAAACGTCGGCCACACACACACACACCTCATCTCTTCATCGATCTCTCTCCTCACATGCATGCATGGCATGAATATGACAGCCCACTCTCTTCTCTCTCACACAACAAACCACCTCTTTTATTCCTCCTTGGTTATTATAAATAAATTATATCCTTTCACTTAAAATGTTGATTCTGATAATTTTTCTTATATTTGAACTTGTAGCATCAAAACCTATTCAACAAGATCTATCTTGGATATATTTTAAACATGTTTAATTTTCAAAGTTTTAATACACTTATTTCACTCAATTTCACTGTGTGAATCTGCTTATTTCAGTGTGTCGTGCCGATAATTGTGAGAATTAATTATTAGTTTTGAAATGAATGAAATCTGTTTTTCTCAAATGAGTGAAATGTGTGGACTCATTTTCTTTAAATGAGTGAAACCAGTTTTTTGAAATGAGTGAAAATAGTTTTTCAGATGAGTGAAAGATGTTTTCTGAACCGAGTGAAATTAATTTTCTGAATTGACAGAAATCAGAGTTTGAAATAAGTGGATTCAGTCATTGAGTGGGTTCTAAAAATAAGTGAAATTAGAGTTTTAAAATAATGAAATAATTTGGAATACCGGAATCGATTTTTGAAACGACTGAAAAAAAACGGATTTCATTCATTTAAAAGGTGCAACTTATCTTTGGGAGACTGCTTCGGATTTCATTCATTTAAACGACTGAATATAAGTCTTGTTCAAGGGAGGTGAGAGAATATTTTGGCATGCATGCAACCGCTTCTTTCCCCCTACTAGACTCTCTCCCTCCTAACAAAAATTGGCAAATTGATGCTACGTGAAACAACTCCACCAATCCCCAAAACAATACCCGGTTGATCTTTCCCAGTTACATAACCAACCGCTAGAAACACCAAATTCCTCTAGCCAAGTAAGAAGAACAATGATGGACTTTCTTGACTCAAGTAGTATTTGCATGGGTCCACTCTTTTGCATTGTGCGCTACCTAGCCCATGCTGTTCAGGTGGTGCAATCTATTATATGGTCCAGACAGCTCACTTTGTGGCATTTGGCAATTGGGACTACTACGTCGCTACATCAACTAGAAGCAGTGTACTCTTGTTGGGACTACACTTCACTGAACTGTACGCCATAGATGAAGCACTTAACCAATGATAGATATCAATGGCCAAATAGAATCCAATCTCTTGCGCCACAGCTGCTTGGATTTGATATGGTGTTGGTTAGGAGTGCTGGTAGTTGGTAGTTAATGGTAACCACCACTAAGGCATGCACTAACTAGGCGTACTGTCGAGTGCATCACATGTAGCTGTACCAGCTGCATTAATTCACGCGCATGCATGACATGCATCTCGCCTCCTTTGGTTGATAGTACGTAGTAGTACTAGATAGATCAAGTGATAATTCCTTGATGAGACACTGCCCACTTAGTTTTGCTGCCTGATTGAGCAGGGCACACGCATGCATGCATGCATGCATGGATTACAACTCAGTGCTGGCCCTTTAGTGGAAAGGGCAAAACTTAGATCGAGTTTGCTTTTGACTTGGCCATGACAAACGGATTTTCCGACAACCATGAGCGTTATTGCCATGCAAGCATATTGCTGTTGTTTCCTTTTAGATTTCTTAGTAAGGCTCAAAATAGGCTTCTTACAGAAGTCAGCTGTTTGTTAATTATTGATGAATGATGACCTAATTTTAGGATTTTTGGAAGTGCATTGATAGAATTAATCCGAGGTACGTGATCGATCCACCTAGAAACAAGCAATCATAGCAGCATGACAACACTGAGATTTGTTTTTTTTTTTGAGAATCAACACTAAGATTTGTTAACGAGGTTCGGCAACTGATATGTTATTAGCTATTCATATATTACCTTATGTCCCTAGTTAGTTTGTTGGTACTTGTGACCTGCACGCCCTATTTATCGCCATGTTAGCTTTGTACTGTTTTTGGCTATGTTGTTGGAACTTCTGCACCATCGTACTGCCGTGGTTGCATGACTTGCTTTGTCCTACTTTAGTTTTTTCTAAAGTCAGGCGATGGCCTTCTCCTTTAAAAAATGTATATAGTATAGTAACTAGTCTTATTTTTAGCTCGAAAGGGCCGTATGGCAGCTATCCTTGAGCTGCATTTCTTTTGGCTACCTAGCTTATCGGCAACGGGCGGCCATGCATCGACCGGCTCGTCACATGCATATGCATGGACGCACGCACTCATGCATGCTTGCCCGGTGGTTGCTCCGTCCCTTTCGATCGCTAGCCACTTACCTACACTTGGCTCTGGCCTCTGGCCAACATCCACCGACATGCGTGCATGTGCACCGTCTATTGCGGCGTGCATGCTCACCACGCGGGCGCGCACTCGCCAACAAACAGACGGACTCGTGCCCGCCGGTCCGCCGTCGATCCATCGGTGCATCATCTTTTTTTTTTGCGAATGATCGGTGCATCATCGCTCATGCATGTCCATACAATGGCTACCGGCCGGCCGGCCAGTCGACGTCGCCCCGGTGTAGCGACTGTGCACTGTGGCCACTCTCTCGTACCCATCAGCGGGAGGTCGCCGTCGCCCCGGTGTAGCGACTGTGCGGTGTGGCCTTCTCTTTTTTTTTTTTTTTGCAGAGACAGTGTCCTCAGATGTGACATCGGAGCGTAACTAAACACGTCGTTCGCTCGAATACTATGTTTCTTTCGTCTCACATAATAACAGAAGAGAACGATCTTAGATTCTGACAACGCTCGAATACTATGTTTTTTAAAGGAAAATACTATGTTTCTTTCGTCTAATAATAATAAAAGAGAACGATCTTAGATTCTGACAGTGCGGCGCACACTGCTCCATTTTTTGGCGCATGTGATCATTAGTACATTCACTAGTTTTCTTTTGGTTTAGCTAACGACCAATTGTCTTTAAAAAACTGTGATATGAGT